ACCATAGAATGCTATTCGGCATTAGAAGACAATGAAATCCTGTCATTTGTGGCAATATGGATGGAATTAGAGGACATTATGTTAAGTGAAGTAAGCCAGAAACAGAAAATTAAACACCTCATGTTCTCACTGATGTGAAAGCAGAAAAAAGTTTATCTCCTAGAAGTAAAAAGTAGAACAGAGGATACTAGAGACTGGGAAGGGTAGGAGGAAGGAAGAGATAGGAGAGATTTTTTAAAGGATACAAAATTACAGCTAGATAGGAGGAAGCTGTTCTAGTTTTCTACACCACTGTAGGATAACTATAGTTAATAATAGAGAGTTTCAAAGAGCTAGAAGGAGGAAATTGAATATTCCCAACACAAATAAATAATAAATGTTTAAGATGAACATGCTGACTACCTTGATCTGATCACATTAGATGTATTGAAACATCAATGTACTTTATGAATATGTAGAATTATTACTTGTTCATTAAAAATAAATAATTACATTTTTAAAAAGCAGTGTGGAAGAGAAATCAAGGCTTCAGATCTTGTGAAGCAGAGGTAGGCTACACACCCCCACACCGGGGCTTGTCCAAATTTGTGAAGCACAGAATCTGTGAGCAAAGTAAGATGGTGTTTGTTTTACTCTACTAAGTTTACTCTACTAAGACTTGGAGGTTGTTGTTTGTATATGACAGCTGGAACTGTGGTTGCCACCTGGGGACCATGAGGTAGTGAGAGTAAGAATCAGCCAACAGAATTGGAAAGGACCCTATTCCCAATGACATTATTGAATAAATTAATTGACCAATCCAAGAACTGCTCTGCCTACTGACCTTTTATTATATGTGATTATAAATTCATTTTTGTTTTGATCATTTGGGGGAAAAAACTACTCCAGTTAAAACTTTAATCTCAAACTTGATCTACACATCATGTCCTCTCCTCCTATGAGTACAATTGGTTTAAGCTAAGACTCGGTCATGAAGGCTCAGAGGTGCTTCCTCTACCCACTTTTCAAGGCCTGGTTTCTTCAGTTGGTCAGTAGGAAGGAGACAGAGGGCTGGAAGGAGGTGTCTCTTATAATTGACTGCTGCGGTTCCCCTCCCCATAGGTTACTCTGCTTCTCAGGGCAGCATGGACTAGCTCTAAACACCCTCAATGTGGTTGGTGTTCAAATCCCTGCTCTTTCGAGGAGCCCATGTGAGAGTTCTCCTCAGGGCTCCCAGGGCCCAGCATAGCACACTTCCCTGACCCAGGAGACTTGGCTCTGGTCCTACCTCTCTGCTCCCCATAGCTTCCACTTCTAGGGGTACTTGTGACAGCACCATGGCAATTCATTGCCAGAGTCCCCTTCTCATCTGGAAGCTCTTTTTTTTTTTCCTTTGAGATGGAGTCTCACTCTGTTGCCCAGGCTGGAGTGCAGTGGCACAACCTCAGCTCACTGCAACCTCTGCCTGCCAGGCTCAAGCAATTCTCCTGCCTCATTCTCCTGAATAGCTGGTACTACAGGTGCACGCCACCATGCCTGGCTAATTTTTTCTATTTTTAGTAAAGACAGGGTTTCACCATACTGGTCAGGCTAGTCTCGAACTCCTGACTTTGTGATCCACCCACCTTGGCCTCCCAAAGTGCTGGGATTACAGATATAAGCCACTGTGCCCAGCCAGAAGCTCTCTTAAGTGGCTCAAGCTACCTTCCCCTATGACCTCTAGGCCCATGGGTGACATGTTCATACTTGCCTTGGTCACACCCCCACCCTGCCCTGCCATCTCTCAGTTCTCTTTCTCCTGCTTAGTGGGGCCCAGAGCAGATCAGCAAGTCATCCAACTGGGGACCAAGATGTCAGTCTCCCCTTCCAAGGCACCTCCAATTGCCACAAGTAATTTTCTTGGAACTTCACCTCATGGGGCTTGCTGGGTGTGAGAGAGTGGGGATATAACTTTCACCTCACCCAGGGGGAAGAGAAGAAATAATTTCTCAACATAAATGCCTCACACTCATGACTTTCTTTCCCACTCCTCCTTCTTCACACACCCCCATCTTAGTTTATTCCTGCTGCTATAACAAACTTAGACTAGGTAATTTACAAAGAAATGTATTTCTTATAGTTCTGGAGGATGGGAAGTCCAAAATCAAGGCACCAGCATTTGGTGTCTGGTGAGGGACTTCTTACTGCATCTTCACATGGCAGAAGGGGCAGTGTGTCCTCATATGGCATAAGGCAGAAGGGCAAAAAGGGCTGAGTTAGTTCCCTTGCACCCTTTCACAAAGGCAGTAATCTCATTTGTGAGAGTGGAGCCCTCATGGCTTAATAACCTCTGAGACCCACCTCTTGATACTATCACATTGGGCCTTAGGTTCCATCATAATGAATTTTGGGGGAACACATAGATTCAAACCATAGCACCCCCTTCCTAGTTTTCTTATGTAGACTTGCAGGAGGGATACAAGTGGCTGATGGTAGAAGGAGCTACTCATTACCTCCTAACCAGTCTGGGTGGGGGTGGCTTCCAGGGACCTCCAGGGCTTGGTGGGTCTCCTTACAATGGAAGATAGTTCACACTTCTTCTTTCCAGCTATGGCCCTAGTGCCCATTTGGGGATATCAGGAGAAGTACCACTCAACATCCTTCAGCAGTCTTCAACAAAAAATTTCAAGCTTTAATAAAAGAAAAAAAGAAGACAAAATATTTTCACCACAGAATCCAAGGCACAAATCTGTTTGTCAGGGATGAGTGAGACTATGTGTATCCTTTGTGTGTAGGCACAGAAATCCTCTCCTAACCAAAAGGTTCATCTCCTGTGTGAGCTGATCAGGAAGGAAGGGCTAGTTCTCCAGCTGAGGAAACCAAACAGCTGTTAAGGGACAGGGAACAGATCCCAAGGCTTCAAGACCCTGACACCTGAGGTGAATCATCTCAAAACTCCTGAGCTCATGGAAGATTTTATTTTCCCCATTATCCAGTCCTCACTTACCTGCAACAGTCGGTTAAGAAGCCACTAACTGGAGGACAAATTGGAAGGACATAAAGCACAAACAATTCAGAGAAGTCGGAGAAGCCAAGAGTTGTTATCAATAAGAGTAGAGGTTATTCCCTCAGTGATTTTCAGAGTGAGCCCCTAAGAAGATGGGAATTTCATTTTAAACTTAATAAAGAATAGAGGACTACTGTATCCAGGGAACCGACTCTGTTCTCCCTTCACAGTTCCGTGCGTCCAATAGTTGGCCAGTGAACCAATGACTTTGCAGTCCCTACTGTTTGCAATGTGGAGATAGAGAGGAGAGCCCGTTCCCACTCCTAGACTGCGGGGAGGAAAGACACACACTCCAGTGATGATGCCCAGAAGATACAAAGCATATTGGCACAGTACCCGGCCATAAGAACCACTGAATAAATGCTTTTAAACCAAACTGATTTCAAAGGTTTTATACCAGAGTACCCAGAAATGTAAACCAGAACAAAAATGCTAAGTTTGATGCACAGTGGTTACAAGGGGAGGGAGTGCCGAGAGCAGGCTGATTGCGGGTGGGATGGGGGGCGGGGCAGCCAACTTTGAGTTGGAACGCTGGAGTCACGCTGTAGATATTCTGCCTCCCATGGAAAGAAGTTCAAGACCACGAGAGCAGGTTAACAATCTTGTGTCAGCTTTGTGGTCGGAAGTAGAAGTAGCATTCTCCCAGTCCTGGAAGGAGGAGGCATACCAAGGATCCTTCTTAGAGAAAAGACTAGAAAAGATGTGGACTCATATTTTGTCATGAGGGCCAGCAAGATGGCAAATGGAGCCTACCAAGGACCAAAGTTTGCTTGGTTTGATCTAGTGTCTCACTGGATCAAATAAATCTAGTGCTAATAAATAACAGCTACATCACGACAATGGAACAATCCTGAGACAGGCCAATGTCCTTCTTTACATTTCCCAGATGAGGAAACTGAGGCATAGAGAAACTGTGTGACTCGCCCATGTTTACAACATTTGTAAGTGGAATCGGGATTCAAACCTGGCCCTGTAGATCCAGAGCCTGTGCCCTTAACCACATGGCTCTCCCACCTGTGGTAAACTAGAGAGGTGGGCATGCCTAGACCACTCAGAGAAAGAGGCACCTCTTCTATGTGCCAATTAGTACATGCTACGTAGTGATCCACAGCAAAGGGTGGGGGAAGGAGTTGAAGGGATAGGCAGCGAAGGTCGGGAAATGGATTCCTTCTCTGCAACCAGTCATGGAAGGAGCATTTAGGTTGATGTCCGCTATTTTCAGGAAGAAAAGAGTACATTCCTTCCAGTTCACTGCAGTTTCCAAAAAATCCTCGCTCCTGCCCAGCTGTCGGAGCAAGCCCTTTTGGTGAGCTGCGGATAGGGTTGAGGCACCACCTAGCGGCTTAAACTGAAAATACTCCCAAATGAATGTCCCTGGTGAAAGGAGGCGAGGGAAATCGTGATCGCCCAAGGCTGGAAAAGGGAATCGAAAGCAAAAACTACTCATGCTCAAAGCCTCCTTTCTGTATTCCCTTCTAGCCTACAGCTACGCATCATTAAAAGATGTCCTTTTTATGCCAGCCTGGTCAAGAACTATTATGTTGTTGTTGGGGGGTTTTTTGGGGTTTTTTGGTTGCTGTTTTGAGACGGAGTTTCGCTCTTGTTGTCCAGGCTGGAGTGCAATGGCCCGATCTCGGCTCACTGCAACCTCCGTCTCCCGGGTTCAAGCAATTCTCCTGCCTCAGCTTCCCGAGTAGCTGGGACTATAGGCGCGTGCCACCACACCCGACCAATGTTTGTATTTTTAGTAGAGACGGGGTTTCACCTTGTTGGCCAGGGGTCTGGAACTCCCGATCTCAGGTGATCCGCCCACCTCGGCCTTTCAAAGTGCTGGGATTACAGGCGTGAGCCACAGCGCCCGCTGGGGTCAAGCACTTTTATGCGAGAGAGGTTGGTAGGTCAGGTCAATGGATTTCAAGACCCCCAAAAGAACTATAGTCTAGATTAGGCATGTGAATAAGGAGAGTTATGGGAAAGAAGGGCAGATGGGAGACTCAGTCTGAGGGAAAAGGTTTAAATCCAGCTTCTAGAACTCTGAGCAATGTTCATACATTGGCGTCAGGTGCAGATGAGGCTGTCAACTGGTGACGTCAATTCGGGCTGGTTGATAAGAAGGGTTTGTGCCAGGGTCCATCCTCAGGAAACTAGGCAGCTGATTGGCTCCCTCACCCCACCTCTAGGAACCTGGGGAGATGGGGAAATTTCAAACATTCAAAGGATCACACAGGAGAGGTCGAAAATAGACAAAATCAGATTCAGGAAGTGGCCAAATTTAGTGTCAATTTATGCCAGGTTGAATAATGGTCCCTCTGTACAGATTTGGTCCCAAGTCTGTTTAGGTTAGCAGCGTGCAAGGTGTGATGGAACCCTTGACCCTGCAGGCATCGATACTCTGTTATGTTTTCTAAGAATGATACTCTAGATGTTTCTCTCTGTCCTGGGCTTTGTTACATCTGCTCTCCAGGCACCCCAGCCCCTGCAACCCCTCAGTATTCAGACCAAGGCAGAGGAAGGTATTTCTTCTATTTGGTCATCAAGAACTTGCCCTTCGGGCATAACAGGACTGACATTGCAACTCACTCCTTCACCTTTCCTTTAGCCTCTGTAACTCAGGTCCCTAAAGTTTCAGGCTCCCCTGCCCCTGTTCTCTCTTTTCTGTTTTGACTCACCTTTATTTTCACTTTTTAATGTTGGCTCTATCCTTGAAAGTGTGACTTCACCTGTTGTTCTAAGCTGAGCTCAGGGCTCAGTCTCTCCAGCATCAGATGGTTTTGCTGGTCAGAGTCACGTCAGGAGCCTCTCCACTTTATCTCAGATTCCTGCCACAGCTGCCAGACTGCTGTTTCTCCTTACTGCAAAGGCTCAGACCATTGAAGAGCTCCCTAAACGTATGTAGGCTAAAGGGATCTCCCTTGGGTCTTTATTTATTTATCATACAGAACTGATCATCCCCAGAGATCAATGAATGAATGAGCCTTCCTCTGTCTATGTTAGTGGTGTATTTATGTGATAACATACTGAACATGGTTGTGTTTCCCATTGTATTTGCTTGAAAGGCTAAACTGCTGTAACAGAGGCCCTGAATTACAGTGTCTTCAAAATAAAGTTTATTTATCTCTCATGTACAGTTCAGATAAATATCAAGCTATTTTTCGGGGCACAGTCATTCAGTGACTTCCATTTTATTTCCTCACCACCTTTTAGAGAGTTTTCCTATGTTCAGTAAATATTTGAGCACTTACTGTTTAAAAGGTCCTGGGTCACATTTTACAGGAGATCCGTAGTTCAGCCTTCTCAGAACTCATGATCTAATGGGAACACAAAGCAAGAAAAGGAATAAGTATAGGTCAAAGAAGAAAAACAAGTACAATAGAGAGATCTGCAGGGATCAAATGAGGAAGGAATCACCTTCAGTTCAGGGACAATAGGAAAGTCTTCACAGAGGACATGTGTATACGATAAGATTTGAAGGATAAATAAAATTTTAGTAAAGAACAAAAGAAAATGTTACCAGTAGAGAAAACAGTATGAACCAAAGTTTGAGGATTAAAATATACATAGAAATGCTCCTAAATGCCCATCAATGATAAATTGGATAAAGAAAATGTGGTACATTGGTTTCAACGTGTCGGCCAGGATGGTTTCTATCTCTTGGCCTCGTGGTCTGCCCGCCTTGGCCTTCCAAGGTGCTGCGATTGCAGGAGTGAACCACCATGCCTGGCCTTCATTTTTTCTTTGAGTCAAGATCTCACTCTGTCACCCAGTCTGGTGTGCAGTGGTGCAATCATGGTTCACTGCAGCCTCAAACTCCCAGGCTCAGGGCATCCTCCGCCTCAGCCTCCCAAGTAGCTGGGACTACAGGCACATGCCACCACACCTGGCTAATTGGTTTTTATTTTTTATAGAAATGGGGTCTCACTTGTTGTCTGGGCTGGTCTCAAAATTAAATAATGCTCCTTCCTGTGCCTCCTGAGTTGCTTGGATTACAGGCGTGAGCCACTACACATTGATATGGTTGTTATCTTTATTATACTGATGCTTTCATGGGTATATGTCAAAACTTAGCAAATTGTACACTTTAAGTGTGCAAGTAATTGTATGTCAACTATACCTCAATAAAGGTATTCAAAAAACAGCACACACAAAAAAAGAAAATATGGTACATATACACCATGGAGTACTATGCAGCCATGAAAAGGAACAAGACCATGTCCTTTGCAGGGACATGGGTGGAGCTGGAAGCCATTATCTTCAACAAACTAAAGCAGCAACAGAAAACCACACACCACATGTTCTCACTCATACGTGGAAGCAGAATGATGAGAACACATGGGCACACAGTGGGAACAACACACACTGGGGCCTGTCGGAGGGAGTGGGAGCAGGGAGAGCATCAGAAAGAATAGCTAACGGATGCTGGACTCAATACCTAGGTGATGGGATGAGCTGTGCGGCAAACCACCATGGCACGCGTTTACCTGTCTAACAAACCTGCACATCCTGCACATGAACCCCTGAATTTAAAATAAAAGTTGGAAATCTAATAAATACATAAAAAATTTTACCAAAAAAATTAGGAAGAAATGAGGATAACAGAATAAGGCATATGGAGAATACAGCTTTGAGAGAAGTTAGAGCCTCATTGTGGAGGACTTGGATGACAGGTGAGGAACCAGTTCTTCACTGGTGGGCCAGGGGCAGTCACTTGAGATTTCTAGTTGGGGAGGAAATGATCAGAGCTCTAAGTTAATTGAGATGGACTAAAATGGAGACATTGAGCATGGGAAAACTAACGGAAAACTACCATAAGTCAAGGAGGAGACAGCACAGACTGGATTCAGGTCACAGGTTCAGAGAAGGGGCCTGAAGAGAAACCCACGGTGAAGTCAAGACCGACAGCTGTGGAATGCTGGAAATGAAAGGGGGAAATAAAGCATAACTCAGAGTTTTCAAGGTTTACACACTCAAAAAATGGTGATGCTGCTAACTGAGATATGGAAATCAGAGCGTGATCTGAGGTTGGGTAAGGGTGGGAGGGTGAAGAGTTCAGTTCCAAACATTAAGTTTAAATTCCTAGCAGACTCAAATACAGCTTTCTAGAAGCAGCTCAAAATGTATATCTGAAGCTGAGAAGATAAAGTTGTTTCTTGTATAAGATATGGATTTAAAAGTAGTCTGTAGCAAAAGAGACATGAAGAGGAAAGAGGGCACCAAGAAAGAGAATACAGAGCAAGGGGCTGGCGGAACATTAGAAAACTCACATGGGTTAATTGTAGGGGAAGAAGCTTCAGGGAAAGAAGAAGAAAGAAAACATATCTGAAAAGCTAAAAAATCAGGAGTGTGCAGTGTCTTGGGAGGCAAAAAGAATTCTCAATGAGGTTCAGCTACGTCAGAAACAAAGAGAGGGAGGAAAAAATATTGAATTTGATAACTAGTTTGTAAGTTACAACTTTTAGGATGGTAGTTTGGTAAGCTGAGAGGGATAAAAATGAACAAATTAAACAGTGGTTTGGGAAGTTAGGAAACAAATATGGAAAGTTAGGAAAGGAACAACAAAATAAACCAAAAGGAAGTAGAAGTGAAGGATTAATAAAGCCCAGATTAATGAATTAGAAAATAACACTAATAAATACAAAAACTGTATTTAAAAAAATGAACTATTAGCTAACCTAGTTTTAAAAACAAAGCACAACATACATAAACAGAAATAAGTGACCAGGCAAGGTGGCTCATGCCTATAATAACAGCACTTTGGGAGGCTGAGGCAAGTGGATCACCTGAGGTCAGGAGTTCGAGACCAGCCTGGCCAACTTGGTGAAACCCCATCTCTACTAAAAATACAAAATTAGCCAGGTGTGGTGGTGTACACCTGTAGTCCCAGCTACTCAGAAGGCTGAGATAAGAGAATCTCTTGAACCCAGGAGGCGAGGGTGCAGTGAGCTGAGATCGCACCACTGCACTCCAGCCTAAGCGAGACAGAGTGAGACTCCATCTAAAAAAATAAAAGGAAGGAAGGAAGGAAGGAAGGAAGGAAGGAAGGAAGGAAGGAAGGAAGGAAGGAAGGAAGGAAGGAAGGGGAGAGAAATAAGTGAGACACTCCAATACATAAATAAGAAATTAAAAGAATCATAATAGGCTACTTTGTTCAACTCTACACAAATGAATCTGAAAATCCAGATTAAAAGGATAATTTTCTATGGCTATATAATCACCAATAATAACCTCAGATGGTATAACATATATTTTGAAAACACAATATAAATTACTATAAAACCACTAGAAACAACAAGATATTCTGTACCATAAAGGAATGACAAACTAATATACAGAAATCAACCACTTTCATACACACAAACAATGAGTGAGAGTATAACGGAAGAAAAGATTCCATTTTTAATATAAACAAAATAGATAAAATCACTATAATTAATAAGATGAGTAAAACATATAAATAAAATTTTAAAACTATAAAAATATGCAAAATAATACTGGAACATATTAAAAATCACTAATTTGCAAATATAACATATACCCAATTAATAAATATACCAGAAGAGTTGTTTTCTTGTTGTTTCTTTTCTCTATCCTTCTTTTTCCTTTCTTTTTTTATTTTTTTGACTAGACAGCTTAATTCTAAAGTTCATACGAATAATTAAATAAATTATTGGAATAGTTAGGAAAACTCTGGGAAGGGGAATAGCTAGGAAACAGGAAGGAGAACATCATACACTGGGGCCTGTTGTGGGGTGGGGGTAGGGGGGAGGGATAGCATTAGGAGATACACGTAATGTAAATGACGAGTTCATGGGTGCAGCACACCAACATGGCACATGTATACATATGTAACAAACCTGCACGTTGTGCACATGTACCCTAGAACTTAAAGTATAATAATAAAAAATAAATAAATAAATAAATAGAATAATGAAGAGTAGTGACTAGCCCTACCAGATATTAAAATATTAAATATCAGTGATTCAGTAATGTCATTTTGGTCCATAAGTAGACTAATCGAACAGACGCCTAAGTCAAGATATACACTGAAATATATGTGTGAATTCGCGTTATGATATAAGCGACATCTCAATCAGTGTGAGAAAGATAAAGTATTCAAAACATAGTTTTGTTGTTTGGGTTCCAATTGGATGTAAGAGTTAAATATGTTTTAGAATAACAATAAAAATACTAAAGGAAAACAAAGAAGAATTCCTTTATAAACCTGGCATGAAAAAGACTTCACTCACTTCGACCCCATAAAGCCCTGGAGAAAAGATGATATATTCAGCTAAGTGAAAAATAAAAGCTTCTGTACAAAATAAAAAACTACAACTATTAGACATAAGCAACATCAAAAGAGAAATGGCAAACTAGGGGGAGTAATTTGCAGCTCCTATTACAGTGCCTTAATTTATAACATACTCCTAGAATTTGATAAGACAAAAACCAGTCAACCCAATAGAAAAGTAGACAGGTCACGGGAAAGGAGATAAATGTATGAAAAGATGTTTGATCTCACTCCTAATAGGAGAAATGCAAAGTAAAACTACACTGAGAGCATTACTTTTAGATTGGCAAAGGTCCTTAAGTTTGATAACATGATGTATAGTTTTCAGTTGCTGCTATAACAAATTACCACCGACTTAAAGGCTTTTACATTGACAACACGAATGTATATCTTACAGTTTTGTAGGTTAGAGCCCAGCTTGGGTCTCGCTGGGCTAAAATCAAGGTGTCAGCTGGGCTGTGCTCCCTCTGGAGGCTCCAGGAGAGACTGTGTCCTTTTGCTCTTTCCAGCCTCTACAAGCCGCCCGTGTTGCTTTGCTCATGGTCCCCTTCTTCAATTTGCAAAGGCAGCAGCATTGCTCCTCGCTGTGTCTTTCTTCTATCATCACATCTTCCTCTGACTGACTCCTCTGCTGCCTCCCTCTCCCACATTTAAGGACCTTTGTGATTACACTGGGCCCATCTGGATAACGTAGAAAAAAGTCTTATCTTTTTGATAAGTCTTATCTTTTTGATTAAAGTCTTATCTGTTTGATTATCTTTTTTGATAAGTCAGCTGATTATCAAACTTAATGCCTCTTTGCCGTGTGAACTAATGTATTCACAGGTTCCAGGGGTTAGGATTTGGACATCTTTGGGGGCCACTGTTCTCCCTACCATGCAGACTGTCAGTGAGGTTGTGGGAAACAGACACTCTCATCATTCCTACTGGGAGGGAATATTCCCTACAAGGACTATGTAGGGTAATTTGGCAATATCTATCAAGATTTAAAATCCACATAACTTTTGATTCAACATTCCATCC